TTTGATTTCAGTCTAAAATTTTCTCTAATTCAAAGTGTTTCTCTTCCTCTTACAGCTCTCTTGTTTTAGGTGTTTGCTAAAGAATAATAAATCAGAAATGTATTTTTCAGTTTATCCTAAACCACCATTCTAACTCACCCTTTATGTCGAACTATGAAGAACAATTTCAATAATCAACAAGAATTAAACATCTAATCTTGGCTATTTAGTTGCTGAATCTTAAAATACTGCTCAAAACTGCTGATCTTTATAACTCAGTTTTTTCTGAATTTAGTCTTCAGAATCAACCGATCCTGTGTTTTTTCTTTCCTGTTTCAGTATCAGTAATCTGTCTTATTTAACTACTTTTATATTGTCATTGCTATAAAACATGAATTTTTTAATACAGAAAAGTATAATAAAGATCATCCATAATACCATGACCTTGAGCATAGCACTGTTAACCAGGTTATATATTTTTATTTCTGATTAATTTATAAACTGTATGGGTTTGTGATGAATGTTTTAATCAGTCTGGTATACAAAACAAGTAAATTCAGAGACTAAATAAATTGATGAAATTTGCTAAAGATATTCACAAGATAGGTTAAAAAAATACTAAATGGAATACAGATTGTACTTTTATTCCTAACAACTGCAGCCTTTACATTTTCTTGGTATTTTTATGTGAATACTTTAAGTTTAGGAAAAGAGATGCCAAGCATAACATTTGTTTTAGTAACAGAATCATGTGCCTAGGATTATGGGGGGAAAAATCATACAAAGACAACTGAAAACATATACAGCTCTACTTCAGTTCTCAAACAGATATGAAATGCAAAACTAGCTGTTTCTTATTAGAAAGCTGTCTACAATTCTTATGACATATATAAAATATTTTTTATTTACATGAAGGTCATATTTTTAAAACTCTACATGGCAGATAGAAAATACTTATATCTGCAAGCATATTTCCACCAACAGAAGGTCAATCTGAAAGATTCCCTTATCTACAAATGGCTGACACGAGAAATACCCTTTCTCATCATTACTACTAGACATTTCCTTAGCATTTCCTCTTCACAACTACTTCAGATATCAGCACTGTCTGGAACACCTACCTTTACTTATAATTCTCACTTAACCCTCACACAAACTGACAAAGGATCTCTAAGTGGTGACACAAGACAGGCAGTAAAATGCAGAAGAGAGAAGGAAAGAGGTAAAAGAAAAGTGCATTAAACCTATTTGCTAGTCTTTACCACCAGTCTGTCCACTATCCTGTAACTCCAGACTGCTCATTACCATCAACAAGTATCATCTGCACAAATGGATTGGGAAGAGTGGAGAGATGTTTTTCCACCACAGCAGAAAATTCTTATTTTCATTCTTATTCCTACTTCATTTTCAATTTCACCACAGAAATAAGGGAAAGAAAAATTATATATTCAAGCTAAAGTCATTATTCACTTCTCACATCCAGTGAATGTTTTGCTTTATTCTTTAATCTATGCCAATTTATTTTCTTCCTTGCAATCTCTCACATAACCTAAGCTCAGCTAATCATACCTATCCAACAGACTGCCCCATTCCCATCAATTTATATCCTTTTACCTAACAAATTCTAGAGCTACTTTCTTGCTTCCCATTTCCCTCCCATTCCACCAATATTTTGAATCACAATTAGGCTTGGAATTGAGAAGAATATTATTCCCATAAAACATACACAGTACTAATAATGTACAATCCAAACTTTATGCAAGTTTGAGATTCAGTTCACTCATGTGTAAAAGCAAGGAATTAGCTTAGGTCACCACTCCAAAAATCTGGCTGACAAATTTCTAGACCCCAATAATAGGGATTATGAAAATATACATCTGAAGTGGTACACAGCAATTTTCTAAAAGGTACTCAGATGAGTCTACTGATGCTTAAGAATCACTGATAAATGCTAAGGCTCCTTCTTAGTCTAACATTCCAAGATTCTAAGCTGGAATTTTCACTGCATGTTCTGATAGGAATATTGCTATAAAAGGAGTATAGTTTCTAGTTATTGGTATTAGAGCTCATGTATGTTACTCATTAGCTAGCCTTTTGTAATATGACCTAGTACCTAAGCACCATTTATATTATTTCATGAGCACAGCTAACTTGTAAATGAACACATAAAATATGTTTGCAGACCGGAGACCACCAACATTATAACAACACTAAGGCCTCAAAGTAAAACACTAAAAATTACTTATTTGGAATTATGTTCCTCATCAGACTTTTTCACAGATTTTTGTCAAATCACAACTAAGGTTTGACTCACATGTCAAAAATAAAGGTAGAAAGGGCATGCTCACTAGGATCTTTTATTTTGCTCATTCACTGATGGGGCTTTGTATTATCACTGGAATAAAGCCTAGAGAATTCTAGGCTTCAATGAAATCCAGGGCATTAAGATATCTAAAGAACAGTCTCATTCAAAAGTTTAAGGATCGTCAGGTCTTTACCTGCCTCAAAGCACACCAGATCATTCACTTATGAACAACACCTATCCTAGTTCTGGTAACTTTCAACCACCAATTCTCATAAAGAAAGAGTTCCCTTAGTCAATATTCCAGCTTATAGACATGTTTCAACATGTGGGAACCAAGCAAGCATAAACAGCACTTGAGCCCTGGCTGGTGTGGCTCAGTGGCTCTGTGAATCAAAAGGCTGCCAGTTGGATTTCCAGTCTACAGCACATTCCTGGGTTGCAGGCCAGGTCCCCAGCAGGGGCGTGCAAGAGGCAACCACACACTGATGCTTCTCTCTCAATCTCCTTCCCTTCCCCTCTTAAAAAGTAAATAAAATCTTTAAAAAAATTTTTAAATAAATAAACAGCACTTGAAAACATAACACATTAGTAGTGTATTAATTTAAGTGGAACTTATTCATTTATGAATGATGAATTATTATAAAAAGGCAAAAATGAAAACTGAATTATATGCTAGTCATCTTTTTTTAAATTGTTGTTCAAGTACAGTTTTCTGCCTTTTCCCCCCACCCCTCCCCACCTCTTTCCTGGTTTCCACCCCACCTTGTTACTGTCCACGTGTCCTTTGTAATTGTTCCTGTAAACCCTTCACCCTTTTCCCCCATTATCCCCTCCCCTCTCCCCTCTCCCCTCTGGTCACTGTCAGCCTGTTCTCAATTTCAATGTCTTCGGTTATATTTTGATTGCTTGTTTGTTTTGTTGGTTAGGTTCCAGTTAAAGGTGAGATCATATGGTATTTGTCTTTCACCACCTGACTTATTTCACTTAGCATAATGCTCTCCAGTTCCAACCATTTTTTCTTTAAAAGATGTACTTTCTTAAAGTTGTACAAAATAGCATAATAAAAAGAAAGTGTGTCCATTATATTTCCTCATTTCTCCAAACATAAAAATCTGTAGTGAATGCCATTATGTAAGCATTCTCTGGATACCAAGAGTGATACAATGGTTGCTAAGGTAACTTCTCATTATACTGAATACGTTGTGGGTTGGAGGGGGGCGGGGGAACATTCTTTAAAAAACAAATTTCAACACTTTAGCTATACCTGATAAATCTCTTTCTAATGCTACCTACTAAACAATAACTGTAGGCCATCTTTGAGAATACTATTTACGCCGTTATTTAAAAAGCTAGGCTTAATACCCTGGATGGTGTGGCTCAGTGGAGTGGATCTGCCAACCAAAAGGTCACTGGTTATAGATTCCTGGCTAGGGCACATGTCTGGGTTGCCAGCCAAATCCCCAGTCGGTGGGGCGTGTGTGAGGCAACTGATGGATTTATCTCTCACAAACTGATGTTTCTCTCCCTCTTTCTTTTTCCCTTCCCCCTCTCTAAAAGTAAATAAATAAAACCTTTAAAAAAGTAAAAGCTAGGCTTGAGTTGCCAAGGGAAGAAAAATTTTAATTTAAAAAGTTTGCAAAATAAAACACATCAATAATATCCAAAGCAACAAAGACAGTATTAATCTTGTAGAGTAAGTGAAGTGTTTATAATCAAAAGCAACATGATTTTACAGGTCTGTTCCATCAACTGTCATCATTTTGTTTCTAATCCTAAATTAAGACTAACACTGGAAGACTGCTGACTTTTCGGCCTGCGATTAAGCTAAATCCAGAGCAAGTAGTTATCCTTCATTTTGGTCTTTAAAATTTCTCATAAGCATGTTTAAAAAAACTGGGAATTTTCAGTGTATTACTGTAAGATAGCTTTGCAAAAAAGCCTATACTTAAAAATGCCAACAATAACTGTGGACTCCGACTATAAACACTCCTCATGCACAAGCAAAAGCTACTAGGGTACTTCGTCCTTTGCTTATGATCTTCCATAGGAGGGTTCCCAGTGAAGGCTGGCTTCTCCAAAGAATGTGTCCTCTGGATGTTTATTCAAAAGCTAAAGTGTATTTTGAGAACAAGCCCCAGATCTCCTCCTCTGCCTAAATAAACACTAAGATCAGACATCTGAATGGGGCATTAGTGGAGCCCCTCCCCCTTTTAACAGCTAAAAGGACTGTCGAAGAGGAAGCTCAGGCACAGCCTGGCTAAATCGGTAGGAACCAGGGCTATGGAGGTGGTGTGACCCGGCAGCAAATCAAATAGGCTGGTCAAGCACGAGCGAGAGGCGGCTAGGGCTCCTTTCAGTCCTTCTTTCTTAAATATATTTTACCTGACGTCGTCTTTTTACCTTCAAGTCTCTCCCAACGAGAAACCTCCACTTCCTCTATGAGGGTGTACGTGTTTGTGTGTGGTGACAATAATCTCAGCACCACGGCTGGGGGGCTAGGGATTGGAGGGGGTAGATACTCAGTTCTTTCACAAGCCTGTAATTCTCCTGGAAGGGAGTCCGGGGCTGGGAGAGCAGCACTGGCCGGTACTGGCTTGCAGCTCCTTCAGGTTGCAATGGTGGCCCCTAGGCGGGAGGGTAGAAGTGATACATGGATGGGAGTGACGATGCCTTCCCCTTCTACCCCTCCTGCCCACCAGGTCACAGTTCAGTTTACCTTCCCGGTACTTCTTGCGGAGCCGCCGGTGGACGCTCTTTACCACCCCGGACAGCTTCTCCTGCTCCAGCTTCCGTTCCTGCTCCTGGGGCGATGGAATGCTAGGGGATCCTGCCCCATGCCTGCGAACACAGTTTCGACCGCTGGCACCAATCTCCATTACGCTGCCGCTGCCGCCGCCGCCACCACGCCTCCAGGCCTCCCAGACGCCCGCTCAATGAAGGAAGTGAGGAAATGAGGCAGCAGCAGAGGTAAGATCGGAGACTGGCGGGCCAAACAGCCGAGGGACGGCTCTGAGACCTCAGGGGTAGGAGGAGAGCGCTGGGAAGGCTCACCCAAACGCACAAACTGATTGGTGAACTACCGAAGGCTGGGCGGAAACGGAAAAGACCAAAGGCCTATACAGCGGCTACTCAGTTGTTTGCAGGAAGGAGCAGCAGGAGGAGGCTGGGCTGCCAAGCCGAGAGCAGCTGAGGAGGTGGGAGTAGTGAACCCCAAAGCTCCGCTCCTCTCCTCTGCCAACCACTCTCCGGATTTTGTGCGCAGGCGTTGTGGTAACTCTTGAGAATGGGGCTGTGCCGACGCGCTTGCGCATTTATTTTTTTTCTGAGTTTGCTTGGTTTGGGCAGGGTTTTGATATCCAATTTTCTTCCAGCCAGCCCACCTCCTGCCAGTTCTATTCTGGTGTGACGAGGCTATCTGGCTTCTAAGCAGTGATTTAATAAACGGCTGGCAATAGCTAATGTCTATTGTGCCAATGCCATGTGAAAGACAGAAAATGGATACAGGAAAGTGCCAAGAAAAGCAATAAAAGGTGAAGAGTGCAAGGGAAAGAAAGCTGGAGAACCAACAACAGGTGCTGTCAAGAACTTTTGTGGAGACGGGTATCACAAGAATCCTGCCCTCCTTTAATAGGCATGAGAACTCTGGGCACTGTTAATGTTGGCATGGGTGACCCCCGCTGCCGTTTAGTTTGGTGGGTTGAGCTATGTGAAGTGTGCCTAAGAGGGTTAGTCAACCTTTTTCTCCCCCACTCCTACTCTCTTCTCTTGGGATGTTCATGGGGAATGTGGTTGCTGACTTCTATACCAGAAAGGTGGAACACAGCTCTCCAAAGAGAAGTGTGAGTCTCAGCATTAGTTCCTGAAGTGGTACTGTAGCTGCTGCAATGTCAAAGAGTCAATGGCTGAAAGCCCTTAATGAATTGTGGTAGGTTGCAGTGTATTCCTGTACTACAGTTGTTGGTTATGCATGTGGGCACTGAGAAAGATAATACTAACTAAGAAGGCTGTCTGGTAGCTTATTGGGCTCAAATTTAAAAGCAAAAATAAAAACAGTCCTGCATCCATTTCTATACAGGGGCCTCTCATGGAGAACTCACTTTAGGGGAACCCTGCACTGAACTACCTTCCTGCATTGTGTTTCTGTCCTCCGAGCCAGCCCTAATAGAGGAGTTTCTGGAATCCTATTTCAACCTAAGGGACTGAGACGTTCCCTATCTAATTGGAGCTGTGCAACTATATACCCATCAGCATCTTCACTGACCAATCAGAGCAGTTCCATTCTGACCGATCAAGGTAGTGTCTTTTGGACCAAACTGGGAGGATTTAGAGTCCTGTTTTGCATGAGGATGGACCAATCATGGTCCTCAGGGATGAGGATATCTGTGTATATGTCATCTCCCCTCTGGATCAGGGAGGGTACTTTCTTTTACAAGCAAGACTGAAGATTGCATTTCCCCAGCTGGAGAGGAAACACTGAAGACATGTCACCAGAGTGGAGCAGAGCAGAACACACTGACAGAGAGATGAGTTTATTGGTGTAGAGCAGAACAGACCAGAATAGGTGTGCCACAGGAGGGCACAGGTGACCAGGTTCTTGGTGATTGGGGACAAAGAATTGAACCAAACACAGAGAGTTTATAGCAGAAAGAGAGAGAGCAGATTTATTAAGCAATAGTACATTCCACAGAACATGGGAGCAGGCCAACTCTGAGCAGTAACTGACCTCAGAGGCTGGGGAATTCTATTTTTATAGGGGAGATATATCCTGGCTAGTTTTCGGGGTTATTTATTGTACATGTACGAGTAGTTATATTACTTTAAAGCTACTGTGCATGAGGTCTCCCATGATTTTCCTTGATTGGCCTCCAGGGGAGGGGGTGCCACAGTGTTAACACATTGCGTACCACATATAAATCTCTAAGACATACTCCAGGGACCGCATGTTTTGGGGAAAACTGCATGTTATTTAAATCATCATAACTACAGATCATAATGCACTTTAGGTGTTGTTTTTCAATAATTATAACATTTTTATTTACAAAAACAATTAAACAATTAATTAAACAATTAAAGTTCCTAGTACTTTTTTAACGTATGGTACTGCGTAAAACATTTTCCTCTATGAAGAGGGACCAAACAAAATTTACGTAAGTATCTAGATTTGCTCCTTTTTTCATGGGTGGCACAAACTCTACAGGCTCTCGTAGGAAATTTTTTCTTTCCACTCGCTGGAATACACGTAGGTCCATGCTGCTTCATACCACCTGACAAGCTTTTGGGTGGATCTTTACGAGGTGCTCTCCTTGCACCCCCAGGGGAAGGGCTGGACAGATTTGTCTCTGGTTCCGGAGAGCCTTCATTATTGTCATTTGTTATCCAGTCTCTCGCCACGGATAGCAGAAACTGTTCATTTCCTCTTGGCCCTTGTTGATCGTTTCTATTTCCTTTTTCATGTTGATATCATTTGCAGTGAGCTCATTGTAGCTTCCCTGTAGTTTCTGGTAGCTCATTGTGAGCTCAATGAGCTTCCTGACAATCATTGCTTTAAACTCAGTATCTGATAGTTGAGTTGCCTCTATTTCATTTAGCATTCTTTCTGAGGCTTCCTCCTTTCCTTTCATTTGGGAATTGTTTCTTTGTCTTCCCGTTGTTTGTGAGACTCTTCTGATAGCAGAAACTGTTTATACTTCATTTTTGCTTGTGGATTGAGGCGTGTGAAACACTAGAAAACTTGTGAGTGGTCCTTAACAGATGGCGCTTGAAACACGAGAAAACTCGTGAGTGGTACGAAATGTGTTAATTTATTATAATGCTATTATAATGAAGCAGGGGTCATGTAGTATCTTTTGTGCAGGTGCATTTATTATTCACTATGATTCAGCACTTTTCCAGAAAGCAGGAACCACCAGTCTTAGAACAGGATCTTTATCTTAGCCCTGGGTCACCTCCAGAGTTTACTCCTTTCTGACTATCTCCTGCCCCAAGTGGAACAGACCACAGCAGGGCAGAGATGCCTAGATGAAGATGGGCCTCACCCCAAAGCCACCTCCAATCAGGGCCATCTCACCCCCGACCCACCTTGCCCCAGGGCTGCCTCACAGCAGCACAGTTCCATACTGCTTCATAATTCAGCTGGAACATGATTGAGCTGTTCTATAGCCATGCTGTTCTCATAGCCTACTATATCACAGTTGAGCTGTTCGCATCAACTAAAGTTTCTTTCTTTACTGTATCCCAAATTGGGGATTCCTCTTGGCATTGAATTGAATGACCATTGGTTGACATGTGACATTGTCTGGAAATTTTTACAATAACTTTCAAATCAATAACTTTATAAATATAAATAAAGCTTGCATTATGTAACTTTTATATGCCACCTTCTGATTAATGAAGACACTGAAGAAAAAAGCATTATATACCAACTCCAGACAGGAGCAAGGAGGTGAAGGGAGAAGTTAAAAGTTGGAAGATATGTCCCTACAGGCACAGTGAAGAAGCAGATCAAACACAGATAAACTTCAAAAGAACTAATTATAATTATGAAGATAAATTACACAAGTGTGCCTGTTAAACTGAGAATATTGTGGTCTTATTTGAGGAGATTTCATTTGAGAAAAAAGGGGAGCTTGAAAAAACAAACCTCTTTTGGTTCTTTTCATATTTTAGTTATGTATGGGAGACAAAAAGAGGTACATATATTTGGAAGTTAAATCATAGTAAAGAGAGCATTAATTTCATTTGTACTGAATTGTAATTTTAAAGAAAACTTTCTTCCATGCTTCTATTAGCAAATGCATTTTAAAATGCTTTTTATTTTTATTTAATTCTCACCCAAGCATATGTTTTTACTGATTTTTGAGAGAGAGGAAGCTGGAGAGAGAAAGATTAGTTGCCTTTCATAGGTGCCTCAAACTGGGTGTCAGACCCTCAACCTAGGCATGTGCCCTGATTGCTAATTGAACCTGCAACTTTTTAGTACATGGGATGATGCTCCCACCAACTGAGTCACCTGGCCATGGCTTAAATGTTTTGTTAAAAATAAAGATGTACACTGAAGGAAAATTAGAAAATGCATAAAGGAGTAAAGAGAATAAAAGTTCTAAGACTATAAATCTTAAATCTCACCTCAAGAAAAAGAGACAGTACCTAGTATGAAGAAAGCTGGTACTATACTGCTACTCATTTTGCAGTTTATAAAAGTATACAATGAACACACTGTACATTTTAAACTTACACAATGTTATGTGTCAATTATATCTCAACAAAGCCATAGAAAAGGTAAAAGTCACCTAACTCATCAGTAAGATATAACAATTGTTATATTTTTTCTTTGCACATAAATACAGTATTTCAAATGGGGTATTTCTTGATGGCTGTGTGGTAATCTATTACATGAATAGCCCATCATTTCAGTAACTAATTCCCAGTTATTGTATATGCTGTTTCTAGTTTTTCTATATACCAAATAATGCCGTAATGAACAGCCTAATGCAAAAAAAAAATATCAATTTCTTACACATTTTAATAAATTAAATTACTAAAACAAAGTTTTGAATCAAAGTATCAAAAATGTAAAGATTCCTGATGTATACTGTCAAATTACCTTTTCTGAAAAGTGGTAGCAGGCTATGCCACCTCTAGTAGTACATAGTAATGTCTATTTCACTGCACCTGTACCAAATATGAGTATTACAATTTACAAATTCATTAATGAAATTTTTAAGGATCTCTATTTTTAGGAAATATAAGGATTTCCTGCTGTTTCTTAACTGGATATTCTGGTTGGCATACTATTTAATAGTAAATATTAATACTCTAAGAGCAAGTAAAAAACTTAAGATTATCTAGTTGTCATTTTTAAAACAAATTGAAGAGCTCCATATTTCAAATTTGTTTTTTATTTCACAATTTCTTGAGAAGCAACTCAAGAAAAAGAAATTGCACAGCTGATTTTTTGTTGGCAACCACCCTGTCTAGTATCAGAAGCTGTAACCCCTGCCAAGGCTAAGGCTGAGGGAACGACCTTGGACCATAAGCCATCAAGGAGACAAAAGCTTATCTCCCTGGCAGGAGCACCACTTCTGCTCCTTTTACTTCACCCTGCCTCGCCCCTAATGCTTGGTCGGTTAGCCAATGACAGGTAAGATTCCCCAAGGGGGGGAATGATCTAAGACAGGCACGATCACGTGGGCGGCCCCCAAGGAAGGACTTTGGGGGCTACAGCAAAAGGGGGTGATGGACCCTCGCCCCTTGGCTTTGACATAGCCTGACTCCTCATTGTCTGCGGGAAAATCTCCTAATCCCTTGGCTGCCTTACTTCCCTTGCTCCACCTAAGCCTGAAACAATGACAGAGGGTGGTGCAGTCCTGTGCTGGAAAGGGTGGGTTCCCCAGGTGATCTGGCCTAAGAAAGAATAGGTAAAATCCTGTGAAACCTGCTTTGTTTAGAATGCTCTCAATTAACTGATAAGGGTCAAAGGGAGAAGTAAGTTTATTCCTCAAAGTTTTACAGCTCTTTAGCTATCTGACCCTGACTCAAAATAGGCCCTCAGACTTCCTTGTTATTTATTGTTTGATCCTTGCTTCCTTGTAACGATTAATGACTTTTACCTGAATTCCTGTGTAAACGAAACCAATGAAAGCCATTGAGGAAAAGGCTCTTGGTCCTTCTCCTGTGAGAGATCGGCCACCTTTCTTCCCCAAGCAGATCATGTCTTGGTAGATTTATTCTTATCCATGGCGGCCAAGGGACCCTGTGGGCAGAGCCCCCACCACAATTTTTATTCTAAATTTGCATTAATTTAAATGGGGAAGAGCTGACCTGTCCTGAGAAACACCAATATTGTGTTTTCTTAGGTGTATGGTGGCAACTGGCCATAGGCCACAGCATAAAAGGGTATTGATATTTATAACTTTCCTCCAGTGTCATTAGAAATATTGACAAAATCTTTCTGTCAAGGTAACAGAAAAATGGTAATGGGATTATCCATTTAAGTAAAATTATTGTTGTAATTGATGGTCAGAGGGATTCACTGCAGGAAGTAGATTTGGTACCACATTCAACAACATATCTTATGCCCAAGAAAATAACAGCATTCCCCCTGCCCCGACACACACATTAGTGTGGTAACAGGATTTCATTTACTATAAACATCTTTTCAAAAATCTTATTATTATTTTAAATGGCTGTTGGGAATAGGGATTTTGGAATAAATCAGTATTCACTGAGCAGGACAAAGCAGTCTGGGAGAAAGAAGCATTTCCTTTTTTAGAACTGTATTTGTTTTTTTATGG